TTATTATTATTATTATTATATAAATATTAGATTTTAGGAAAAAAATTAGTAATTGAACCCACTAAAATACAACTTTGAACCCATAGTTTTAAATCCTACTCTTTTGAACCCACTATTTGATAGTGTTGATAATGAGCTTATTATGCAACGATTTCAAAATATGAAATCTCGTCGTGGTTAATTGTAGAAGTTCGTGTATTAGTATGTCTTTTTGCTTAAATAATAGTATCAATATATTGAAATATTTTTGTTTATAATTTTAGAATTTAAATTAATTTGTTGTTTTTTTTCTCCATATGTGATATAATGATTAATGTGAATTTTTTGTAAGATATATGGTATTTGAGTTTTTGATTGACACTACTAACAAAAATTCCTGGAGTCACCACTGCCTGGACGAAAGTGTAAGTTCCATTCAAATTAATATACGTAGAATGAATAAAAAAACTTACGCAAAAACATCCTCGTAATTCTTTAAAATTATAAAAAATATATATATGTATATATTTTTTTTCAGAACCAAACCCATTCATATCCATGACATTAACAGAGTCATATAAAATATCATATCAAATGATATTTAAATATGATCACTTTAGTATTATGCCATCTAAGGTTGTTTTATACTCTTTTTGTCGTATCTTTTAACATTTTCATTTTTAAAATTTTCTCACAAAGTTCTCATTAATTTTATAAAGCACTTAACATTCAATTTATATAAGCACAAAATTTCTGGAAGCTGAGGTTTACAATTATTGGTAATTATTAATTGTTTTTTTGCTTTAAAAAAAAAAAAAAAAGAGGCATGTATATCTATATATACATTCAAATATTATATACAATAAACGTAAAGATATATTTGCAAAAATCTCAACATTCATGCATTATTTTCCATTCTTCCCTTAATAAAATCTCAACATTTATGCATTAACACTTCTTCTACACTTTCTTGTTTTTCTTTCCTCGAAACTATTACAAACCTCAAAATATACTTTCCATTAAACAAAAGAACTAAACGATCAAAAAGAATTGAAAGTGAATTAAATACACATCCATGCTTCCTAGGTCCACACAATATTCTTTTCTTTTTTTTTAACCTAAATGACGTGTAAAAAAAAAAAAAAAAAAAAAAAAAAAAACTGCTCTACTCTTACTTGAGTGTCTTCTTTTCCATGTAACGCATACCAGTGCTGCTCCTACTAGTTGAAGGGAATAAACTTTCAGGACACAATGGAGGCGGCTCTCCCATGAGAACCATTGGAGAAGCACCAGTCTTGATGATCTACCACACTACACTCCACGCTACGACCAGAAAATGAGATGCTGGAAAGGGCATGCGTTGCAAAGCAAAGGTTTGGATCAGTTTTAGAGCTTATCACGGAATCAACAGATGCCAGATTGCTGATAGCCGGCTGCATTGACTTAACTAGTCCAATTGATGACCCCTGGGGAAAACAAGCAACATTTGATGATAAGTTCATTTTAAATCAGATGTAAACTCACAATCACAAATAACAACGGGTTTCAGTGAAACTTCAATGAGAGAAAGCATAAGCGTTTATTTAGTCACTCCAGCAGAAATATTTGATGACATACATGCAAGTGTGAAATGTTTGCTAGAACGTGATTGACAGGTGTTGAAAGGAGATGAGAGGTGTTTATGTCAGTTTGGCAAAATCATGTCAGATATTCAATGCTTCCTCGTGCCATCCATGCAAAATCATTCAAGTGTTTATGCAAAGAAATCATTAGCTACTCCACTCCAATGATAATTGGAAAACCACAGGGCACTTTTTGAAAACAAACGCACACTCACAAATAAAAAAAGAATCAAGATGCATGGCCAACAATATTAAATATTATTGCCCATTGTACTTTGCATCCTAATTCCAGAAATCTTTTACTTTCCAAAATATTTGCACTGTTAACAAATTCTCTTGGTTTATAAATAGGATAGCCCCACTAGAACTCCACTTTAGCTTCCCAAGCTCATGAATTTCCATGAACTCACATCTTGGAGGAAAGGAGCTGTAATTGGAGTGCCAAAGGCACAATTTGAACATCAAGAATTGTGAGAAGTAACAGTAAGCTATGGTGGGGGCTTTTCCATGGAGGTTCCGAAGGAAGGTTTACTCATACAAACACTACTATAATTCAAGTGCAGCAAACCTAAGTTGCACTTACCAATCAAATATTGGAGCTGAGTGACAAGTTTCATTATCACCCAAGGGTGGTAGCCTGATGGACTGGAGGTCATGGGTTCGAGTCCCATAGATAGTCACTAGGGGGCACAAAGCTCATGCATATACCAAAAGGAACCATATCCACCAAGAACATTCCATTTGACCAAAATTTGGCAGATAGGAAAGAAAGCAATATTTATGAACAAAGTTCCATTTCTCACAACTCAATGGGACAAAGATGTTAGAACTATGCATTGACAGTGACACATTATAAAGCAGAAAGAGATGAAGGACTAAACAGTTGTGCTGGATCATTAAGAGCTACACCAAATATTTCTTCATAGTTCTCAATATTCAAGTCAACTTCATTCATATTGAAGTCCTGATAGAATTTATCATCTTCTTCTAAATGAGGTGCTTTTGTTCCAGGACAGCACGTCTGCATATTAATTAGCAGAGGTCAGATTTTTACTCAAGCAACAAAGTAAACAGGTAACCTTAAACATATTCATAATACTATAAAGTTGATCAGTTTTGTATTTTGAATTACATATTCATAATTACATGACTTGTACAAGGAAGGCACGCACGAATTGACGCCTTTATTATAGCCAGATGCCCCAATTTGACCTGAATTCACACAACCCTTGGTCTCACCTAAATGCTTTTATAACTTCCAACTTTGCATTTTATAATATGGCATTCAAACTTTCAAACTTTCAAACTTTTGGACCATAATTTTAAATTTTATTTTTTTGGATTATAAGAACAAAAATAATTTAAAATATCATATTCTATGTATCTATTTGTTTATTTATGCACGTACAATTTGAGAATAAATAAATAAACTACAAATAAGAAAATGTATATAGGTAAAACTATATGGCATTCAAACTTTCAAACTTTTGGACCATAATTTTAAATTTTATTTTTTTGGATTATAAGAACAAAAATAATTTAAAATATCATATTCTATGTATCTATTTGTTTATTTATGCACGTACAATTTGAGAATAAATAAATAAACTACAAATAAAAAATGTATATAGGTAAAACTATCACAAATATCTTTTTTTCACTCAATTTTTCCTCTAAAATATGCTTGTCTTCTTCATATTTTATTCAATGTCTCTCTTTCTCTCTCTCTCTCTCTCTGATAAGCAAAGCAATGTAAAGAAGAAATTTTTTTTTAAAAAAACCTTTTTAAGTGGAGTTATTTATTTATTTTTTGGAAAATTGCATTAAACTCCGCTCAAGTTTGGTAAAAATACAATTAATCTCATACTTTTAACATAATTACATTGACATCTCTTGAAATTTTAATTCACATGTTAGTTAGGTCATTTTTTATCAATAATTTATTAATTATATGAATAAAAAATGATATTATTATCTAAACAAACGTCTAAAAATTGAATGAAAAAGATATATCAAAATGAATGTTGTCATGGACCTACTAAACCGAAAATTGAACTAATCCACTAATTTTCTAGATGGAGAAAAGCAATTTCTTAGCTAGAAATTAGAATGCTGATAGAACCCTCATTTAGTGGTCATCCGCATATCTTGCACATGCACATAAAAAATTACAGTGGGCTTTAATGGTGGATTCCATAGTAGGTAAGGTTTGACTTGTATTGTAAAGCTGTGTTGTCTGAATTGTCGTGGACACTACTGAAAAAGAATGACGCCTAATATTTTATTTATGTTATAATGCCATCTATGTAACCTTAAACATATTCATAATACTATAAAGTTGATCAGTTTTGTATTTTGGCAATCTTATTTGATCTAACAAATTATCACTGCATGCATTTTATTTTAATCTTCTTTACAAGCATGGCTAGGATTGAAAACGTGTCATATAACATTCCAAGAAGAAAGGCCCAAAGCTCAAAGCCAATGAAGACCTCAGAAAATTCTACTAGATTCTTTGAGATTTAATTTCATATCACATAAATGGAGTAACATTATGTCATATAATTTTCACTTACATCTTATGGAACAATCATGGAATACTAAAATGAAGACCTCAGAAACTAGAAGTTAGGTAGCCAAGCAACAGGTAGCAACATTTCAGGATACCTTAGCTCCAAGAAACCTCATTTATCAAACAAATGTGATAAAATTTATCATCCACCAAATTCCACCAACCCATAAAAGTTCCAAATCATATTCTATGTCACCAAACTCGACAAGAAAAAAAATAAAAAATGAAAAATAAAAAGGAGACGGCATTCTCACTTCCCTTCTTTTTTCTTTTTTCTTTTTGAAGTGTGGACAGAACATATAATGTTCAAAAACTAGCTAAAAACTTTTAGCTGCAGCAAATCAAGTAGAAATTCTTATTTATGTTATAATGCCATCTAACCACATGATTTTTTGCATTTTTCCATAGCAACATTCCAATATTTAAAACAAATATACATATAAGAATAGAAGAAAGAGAGAAGAAATACATATAGGGGGTCTCTCATCATTTATATTGCTAATATATTTAAATCATTAGTTTAGTTTTTCCAAGAGAAAGAAGTACAGTATGATGATTTCATGCTATAATTGAGAATACATATTCACACACACACCCCATTGGGAATTGATGAAAAGGTAAAGCCGTACCTAAGAGCTCACTTCCTGTGTAGCTTTATCATGGACCTTAGAATACGATTGGCCAGATTCAGCAGACCTTAGAATACAAGTCCTGGAAAAGAACCAAATTCACTTCAACAATTACATATGCACTTCATTTTCACATTCAAGTGAAAGGAGACTAAAACAATGTTTACAAGACCTTTTTACCTAACATAACAGAACCAAACTCCACTAACTTCCTTCTATCTATTTTTTCTACTAGAGCTTTGAGCTCTTTGCTTTTCTTCAGTTTACACAACACACCACATCTTATTTTATGACCTTTTTTTTTTCCCTCTTACCCACATGTAGAACTTATACACATTACAAAAACTTGAAATTTTTTCTCCTGGTCTTCAATTATAACATTACTTCCTAAAATAATCTTTCTAGAAATAAGAAAAACAACAATCAATGTAATTTGAGTATTTCAACACAAAACATGGAGTTTTAACCAAGCAATTTAACGCCAGAAGGCACTACATATATACTTACATATATAAAAAAGCATTTAAAAGACTTGCTTAGGCACTAAAAGGTCAGAATTCTTCACTAAAATTTCTAAGTTTACAAGGTTTTCACTTATTCCTTTAGAGCATAGCATAAAAGCCACCAAAATCACAAAATTATAGATGGAATATGAGAAAGCTAGATAAGTATTTATAGGGAGATTCAAAGACCGAGAGAGATAGAGAGAAGCAAATTGAAGGAGATTGAAGCAACCAAATATCAATATTGAAAATCACATTTTCCATTTTTCCCTCCAATTTCTGAGCAAGCAAACAAATTAATAGAGAGATTGAAGCAACCAGATATCAAAAAAGAGCCAACACATCCCCTGAGTTTTCCAGAAATTAATCTAGTATATCATCACAAACTTCCACTCAATCACATATAATATGTACCAAATCACTCCAAAATCTATACACATAGGTATTTGAAATACATATAAATAAGAGAATAATTGAATTAAATGAAAGTGATTCAATCAAATATCAAGAGTTCAAACACATTCAAATTGAATATTGCAAGGGTCATTTATCGATCCAAACCCTAGGAGTAGATTCAAATCGCAAACTAAGAAAAAATGGAGTAAGATAGAAATAGAGAGAAGAATTTTCGAGAGAAAGTACCTTGAACTCGATCGAAACCCTAGGTGTAGATTGAAACCCAAAAACAAGAAGAAACAGAGAATGAAACTTGAGAGAGAGAGAGAGAGAGAGAGAGAGAGAGAGCGCGAACCTGCAATGATCGAGTTCGAAACAGAGAGAGCACAAGATTGAGAAGAACTCGAAGCGGAGAGCGAGAGAGAACGAGATTGAGAGATTCATACCAGTGCGAACTGAGAGAGAGAGAGAGAGACAGAGCGAGAATGCGTGCAAGAGAGAGAACAATCAGTGTTTGTGAAGGGCAGGGCAAATAAAAGGAAAATGGAAAAATAAATAAAAGGAAATAACGAATAGATTGGTTATTTGCGACGGATAATCAGGTGGTTGCAAATTATATGGTAGCAAATAGTCATTTTTTTAGTAGTGTGTACTTTATACAGAGCACATATTTTTGGAAGAGTGTCTAAACAACCCTTGTGTTGATCTATAGAAAGCATTGAAAGAAAGAAGACAATATGTACTAGTTCAATGATTAAGTTATCAAGTCAAAAGGATTTACTAAAAAAGTATTGAGCCCAAAGAAATTGCTAGATTAATACCCTAAATCAAATATATAGCCAAACCCAACCCAACGAAGCTTTGTGTACCAATCAAGTGGGATCAACTAACCCTCAATTAAATAAATAAATAAAAAGACAACATGCCAAATTGAAGTACCATGTGTGGTTAATTTTGACGGCAAACGTCATTTTTGCCGTTTGGTATTAACCCCAAGGGGTGTTCATTGTACCAAATCGAACTTCAAGGTGACTCTCTGTTTTTTGATCTGACCACAGAGGGGTAGATTGTAATTTACCCAAAGATAAATAATTCCATTTCATTATCACTGGTTTGAACCAATTCCAAATATTATGAAGAACCACCTAACACCGTTAGAAAGTTTTACAAAAAATAGTACCTCCCCATAGCTGCATAGCACCATTGCAACCATTGCAAAGAGAGTTTCTGAGTGTTTCCTGATCTTGCATTAATTTTTCTAGCTCCTGCTTCCGACTCTCTTGTGTTTCTAGATTATACTCAAAGTCACGAATCTACTCACCGTTAGAAAGCTCAAGATGTTATGCACTATTATTTACATTTTGATGTACCAAAGAACCCAAGAGTTCATACTCAGATTTGAGTGAAACCAAACAGAACTCAAGAATTTGTCCACACATAGCCTGGTGATGGAATATCACATGTTAAACCATAGTCACTAAAATTATGTATTGTACAGTGAACTACTTCCTAAATATTTGGTATTCCCGTATTGAGTATTGCCTGACAATCCCCTTTTTTGGTTTCTTGTTTTTGTTTGATACATCATATATTAACGAAACAGCAAAAAAAGCTACTTCTTCTTCTTCTTTTTTTTATTTTTTTTTAAGCACAAAAATGCAAGTATGCTATAATCAAAAAATGCAAAATAATTTCTCTCCATAAAAATTGTATGGTCAAATACCTTTGCTCCCTCACATTATCATTAATAATTAGGATTACACCACATAACTAAGCCATTCATATAACATATCCTGGATCCAGACTCGACTCAACCTGGTATTGCACCGAGTCTTACCTGATGATGATACAAGTGTCTTGTGAGTAGGTGTGTGTATCTGAGGTTTATCCAACCCGTACACAGGGTTCCTCATCATAAAAACAGAAAAAAGTGAAACTCTAGTTGTAAAACCTTTTTTTTTTTTTTCTAACTACAGACTATATACTTCATGAGCAATGCATCAATATTTTCATGTTCTAATTTGGCATAAAGCTTTCACCGTTAATCTTTGCTCATATCATTTCATTATTCACATATCTACTAAAAAATCAATACACACATACTTGTGTATGCACATAAGCTTGCAACAGAAGACTTGACTAAATGAGCTAAATTAATGTTTAACTAGAACCATAGCTGTTTCTACTTTACCTCTTCTGATATTTGAATCCTTTGGTATTGATGCTCAGAAATCACAATAAAAAAGTATTGATGCTCAGAAATCACAATAAAAATTGTCAAGAATTGAAATATGATTATGGCCCCAATGAACAACAATTGAAATATAAGAAGTAGATAGAAAGAGGAAATACAATGATCGAAGAGAAGAAGAACAAAGCGATTATTTGCTAGAAATTGAAACTACATGAAATGAAATAGTGAAAAACAGAAATCACGTACCTTTGAAGAAATCGCGAAGAACAGAATTCCAAATGATATTGAAGGCATCGATCATAAGAAGAAATCGCAAAGAACATAAATTGAAGAATATAAATCGCGAAAGGCAGATGAATGCATCGATCTAAACCCTAGCAAATATATATACAGAGAGAGAGAGAGAGAGAGACGATAGAGATAGAGATCGAGAGAGAGAGAGAGGAATTCAGAGATCGAGAGATATTGAGAGATTGAGAGAGGAAGAGTGATTCATACCTGTGTTTGGGTGAGCGAGAGAAAGAGAGCGATGTCGAGAGTTTGAGCAAAGCTGACTAGGGCAAAATATAAATAAAAGAAAATAAGTGAAATAAAGCACATACATAAACGAGATTAGAAAATAGTATATTTTTTGCTACGGTTAAATAGACGGTCGCAAAAAAATAGACGCAAAAAGTCAATTTTTTAGTAGTGTGGCGTCTCTTATCAGACTTTTTGGCAAGATGGAATTAATCATTTTACAATTATTGGTATGCATGACGCACGAGTTTTCATCAAATTAATGATGCAAAAAAATATAAAATAAATAAATAGAGACTAGTAGGGACAGAGAATCCGAGATGATAAGGCGTTTTTTAAAAAATCTTTCCCACTTTGGTTGAGGTTATCTGCAAAATCAGTTTAAACGTGATTTCTCTATTTTTCAACTAATAAAAAAACGTAAACTATAATTACTTTGCTTGGCTTGGATTTTTTAAAAAAATTTATTTTTTTGTTTTTATTGAATTTTTTAAAATATTTTAAACATTTTTTTAATTTTTAAACACACCTAATATATATACACTTAAAAAATATAATTTTCGTGAAAAAAATCTTTAAAAAATTCATTAAATACCAAAAATATAAAAAAAATGAAAATTTATTATATTTTTCATATTTTTGTATATTTATTAATTTTTTGAAATATTTTTTCACAAATATTTTACTTTTTAGATACACCTAAGTAAGGCGCAGCTAAAAAAGTAAAAAAAATGCTTAAAATTTTTAAAAATATTTACTAAAAGAAAAAAACTCAAAAAATAAAAAAACTCAATTTTTAAAAAATTAAATTTAAAAAATTGAAACCAACCACACTGAATGATGTTACTTAAAATTTCTTGAAATTACAGATACCTTCTCTGAAAATTTTAAAATTATACTGACGTCACTTATCAGACTTTTTGACAAGATGGAAATAATCATTTTACAAAATCACCCTTTCGTTCTTTTTTTTGACAAGAGGATCCACAAACCACACATATTGGACAATCTATATAATAAGGGAGGATTGTTTTTGAAAATGTCCCAAATGTATCAGAGATACATATGGCTTTAACGGCCAAGATGAATCCTAAGTTCATCTCAATGGCTCAGATCAATAGATCTCCCGCCCAAACAACTCTTTGCTCTCTCTCCCACGTCTAGCTAAAACACATCTGCTCTCAGATCCGATCCTCCTCCTCCTCATCCCAAATGCCTCTAATGCCTTACCTCTCCCTCTATACCTGACCAACGGCATTTTCTTCACACTTTTCTTCTTTATCGAAGAGGCAGCGATTGGTTTTCCAGGTACAGCTTAATTGTTTTGTTTTTGGTTCTTTTGTTGATGAATTTTCCAGGTACGCCATTCGCGGATCGAATAACCACCGTCTTGGCGAAGGAAATCGAACCAAAATCCATTAGATTCGGAGAAGAAACTCGAGTCAGATCAGAGCGTTTCACAGCCATTGCGGTCGCGACCATACTTTTTGATTGATCTTTGATTCTGTAGCAAATGTGTTCATTCAAACCTAACAGATTCATAGCAAATGTGTTCATTCAAAGTTTGATTTCTGCATCTCGATTTCTGGTTTGTATCTCTCTAATCCTAACATTATTTTCTAATCCGAACATTATTCAAAGTTTGTATTCAAAGTTTGATTTTTTTTTATTTAGTATTCAAACAATCTGATCTATTTTTATAAATGGAAAAGTATTTGTAAATGGAAAGTATTTTGTTTTCCAAACTTAGAATCTGTTAGGTTCTTATTACAAATCTATACTAATATTCAATAGAACTAATACATAGTAACCACACATCAACTATATCTTATTGCCAACAAGAGGTGAATCATCAGCAAACCATGTATCCTACCTCTCTGTTTGGCAGTGAGCAAAACATGAATTTATGAATAACCCATTTTCCTCAAACGTTGAGAATCCTTCTAAGGTATGATTTCTGAAGTCTGCTCCAAAGAATATACAAAATCTTTAATCAATTGATGAAATTTCTATACTACATTTTAAAGAAAACTAATCAAATTTATTAATAGTCATGCCAGTTGAGTAATTTCTGTTATATGAAACCACCTTGCAGAAATTTCTGGATCTGTGATTTTGAACAACTTGCGTGATTCATTTTGCAGTCACGCCAAATGCCATTAGGATCAGTTGATGCAGGAGCTAAACTGGCCTGGACCTGAATTGCGAAATGAAAAGACCTAATGTATCAAGTTTTTCATTTAACATGCTTAAAAGCAGTCACAAAGCAAGCCATTGTCAGTTGTCTTGCTGCATGAGTGAAACTCCAGGTGAACTAAATTTAGCAAACTCTACAGAAACAAGATATTACTTGCCGTGAATCATAGGCTGCATTGAGAATAAATAGAGGGGTTTTGACATTGGCAATTAAGTTCTCGGGGAAGAAGCACTGTAGTGGAAGAATGATATGAAAGTCAAAGTGAGTTTGAGAATGATGGGATTGAACAGAATTTGGTATTTTCTTATGCAATTACATCTCTTGCATTTGCCAAGAAAATTGAAGGAACAGACTCACCGAAGTCGGATCAAGATTCTCGGTACAACTACTTGGAAGATTTTTTTAACAATTAGAAAGGCATGAATCTCTCGCTATTATAAATCCAGTAAGTTTGAGTTAAAATTAGACTGTCTTTTTGGGTATGTATTACTGCAGACTTTTGTGATACATAACGGATTATTTTGTTTGTTTGTTTTTATTTTTTATTTTTTATTTTTTTATTTAAGTTATGCAAATACACAATGAAATGAATTCATTTCGTAGTGTATCTTTTTACATCCATTTTTAGCTACCTTTGAATTAGAAGCAGCATATGAACTGAAATAATTGTTGGTTACTGATCAGTCAATGAATTAGATAGTGTTTTTCAACCAGTATAATTTTCATTGTGCTTTCATTTTGCATTATATTTATACGTTATGTGGAATCCATTCTTTAAAATTTAACGATTCCACATCTAATAACGAGGAACTAACACATAGCTTCATCATTTGCGTAAGTCTAGATATGGAAACCTTCCTCTTTACCTCGGAATCTGTCAATGAAGGCCACCCTGACAAGCTTTGTGACCAAGTCTCAGATGCAATTTTGGATGCTTGCCGAGAACAAGATACGGAAAGCAAAGTTGCCTGTGAGATGTGCACAACAACCAACATGGTCATGGTCTTCGGTGAGATCACAACCAACCTAAGCACTGGAAGCACAACACTGCCATCGCCATGGCTGGTATCTTCCTCATCTACATCCCCATCGCCATGAAATCTACCCAACTCGAGGTCCTCTCTCTCTGTCTCAGAACCCACATTTCATTTTGATTGTTTTACTTTGCAAGATCTGAGTTTTTACTTCGACGATACAATGTTTAATTGCAATTAGGTTTTGGGTTTTGTTCAAAAAGCTAATCTCGATTTTTCTTCATCTGGGTTTTGCAATTTTTATTGTTGTTGTTATCAAAATTGATGATGAGTAAAATTTTATAGGATTAATTATCTGTTTGTGTTCGATGTCATTGTTTCAGTGTACATTGATGCAAGTTTTGGTGTATAGAAATTGGTCTGATACAGAGGTTTGTTTGGGAGTAATAAAAGTCCCATGATATTGATATGAAATTACTATACACTTTCAGTTTTATTGTTATTTATAAAGATGAGTCGAATTGAAGATGGGTTGAATTTTAAAACAATTTAAAAATGGTTGCTATACACTTTCGGTCTAATTGAAGATGGGTTGAATTTTAAAACAATTTACAGTAGTTTAAAAATAGTTTAGAGCAATTTCTAGATGTGAATTTTATAGTTAAATTTGAGGGGCATTGTTAGAAAATGAGTGGAAACAGAGGCATCAGTCATATTCTCAATTGGGTTGTCCTCCGATCCGAGTCGAGTAGCAGAGCAATAGAAGAAGAAGTAGTTGATTCAGAATCAATCAATCAATCAATCATCATCAATGGCGTTTATGAAGGGAGAATCGCTGGTGGCGAAACTGGCAGTCCTGGCAAAGTATGAGTGCTTCCTGGAGCCATGGTGGCTGCTCTGATCTACTCTCCTCCCGACTACTCTTCTTCCAGGAAACACTCCTTCTCCTCCTCCTCCTCCTCCTCCTCAAAGTAGATTATGGATCTACATCTCTCCTTCAATTCCAACGGTTCGCTTCCTCTCTTTTTCACTCTCAATTCATCCATCAATTTTCTCTCTTATCTTAGGTTTTCTAATAATCTCTATGTTGTTTGATTTGAGAATACAGCATATGTCTAAGAATTTTGTTTCTATATGCAGACCCTAAGATTATTATGCTTCTCTAAGATTATTTTAGTTGGAGATTGTTGTTTTCATGTTGCCAAGTTTATGAGATTTTCATAAGATAGGAGACATAAACATAATTATCACTTAGGTAATCTAATCTCCAGACCTTGCTCAATTTTTTACCCAAATTTCAGGGAAAGCTTTTATTTGATTAATGTTAGAGTTGTAAATTTGAAAACTACAAATCATGTTGAAAATTTGATTTGGGTAAAAAATGTTTAGAACTCAATTTGGTGTAAGTTTGATTCAAGGAGTGGAGATATGTTTTCAGTGATTTTTTACTCAAATTTAAAATTAATATAGGTTTATGTCAAGGGTTGGATATATGTTTAGGTGTTGTAGTTACCATGCTTATTACAGTTGTAGTTCATTGTTTTGCAGTGTTATATGGGTGTAATGGAATTTCAGTTATTGTGCCAATATCTTAGGAAGGATGTCCTATGGCGTGGTCCCATTTCATGACACTCTTACAGTTTCTGTCGTATTTTTAAAACAATTTAAAAATGGTTACTATACACTTTTGGTCTAATTGAAGATGGGTCGAATTTTAAAACAATTTACAACAGTTTAAAAATGGTTTAGAGCAGTTTCTAGATGTGAAATTTACAGTTAAATTTGAGGGGCATTCTTAGAAAATGATAAAAGTGTGATGAAGCCTCTTCTTCTGCAATGTGTGCTTTTAATAAAAGAATAGATGTGTATGATGTTATAAATGAAAATATAGCACATAACATCTCAGTGTTAGCCAACATATATTT